TCGCTTGAATATCTTTTTGACTTCTTGTCACGCAAAGTAGACTCTGGTATTCCATAATTTTTTGAGCACTCGGCAACAGATGTTCCAGTACTTACATTTTTTAACGCCAATTTTAAAGTTTCTGGAGTGTAGTTTTTTTTTTTCTTGGCTACATTGTTTCTTTTTTTAAGTGTTTTCTTTTTCTTCGTCTTAGCCATTTCCCTACGTAGCGCACTCGTTCATTATTGTTACAACTGTATTAGGGTTATGTTTACATACAGGCCTCACCACGGTAATACGTACACGACCGTCTAACATACTCTTGGTACCTAATACCGTGCATAAATACGATTTTCTCTATGAATTAATCATATAAATATTACATTTTTACCCTAATTTGAGCTATTCTTGGATATTAATATCAAATAATTTTTTTGCGACCGCTATTACACTTTTTCAAAAATTATACAGCATTTTTGTAAATGCACGGTAATAGGGCAGACCACGGAAATATGTACACTTACCCCTCCTTATTTTTTGAATAGTTAAAATGCATTTTTATAAGAAAAAATAAAATTGACTAGATATATACTATTACTATTTTAATTAAAAAACGATTACAAAAGATCTAACTGAATGGTCTTGAAAATTATTTTAAAAATATTTTTAGTATTTTCATTTTAAATATAAATTTTATATGGCAGTATACAAAGCAAAGTCTTACTCATAGAATGAGAGTTTCAAGTTTAGTAGTTGATGAAATAAAGAAACAAGAAATTTTCTTTAAACTTTAAACGTACACTTCTTCAGCTATTTTTATTGACTGCAAAAATTTTAAAATGCTCAGCAGTTTCAAAGCAAGAATATTGACTTTTAAAGCTTACAGTTTAAGCACGCGTTATAAAGGAACAGTCATTCTCAGAGCAACACAAACACTTGAAATTCAATAAAGAGATGAATCTTCACAAAAAACAAATATATTGCTGAAAGAATGTAATGCATGAGATACTTAATAATACATATTCACCATCGCCTGATTTTTTAATAGGTCCAATTAAAAGATTTAAATTATTACTTATTGCATAAAGCTAAGCAGAGGTCATGTATATATATAAGATAATCCAATCCAAATTTGCCTTTTCGCGTCCCAAAAAAAAGATAATTTTTTTTTCAAGGCACACCTTTGAAATATATTTTGTCTTGTTCTAAATGCCCTTAATAACAAGGAAAAAATCATGTACATGAACTTTAGGCTTTGTGACAGTTTTTCATGGCATAGAAGATTATAATATTTATTTTTTAGAAAATTCCGTATTAACAAGGACTTTGTTTGGTAAAACACTTTATTAGATATTGTACAAGAGGGTTAATTACAGCGTGTGAGGCGTCGTAAGTGTGAGCGAGACAGGCGCCCGGTCGTCTCGGAGAGCAGTGCTCAAGTGCCCGAACGCAGAGGCGGCTTCTGGCAAGGCAGAAGCCCGTGAGCATGGCGGAAGTGCACGCAGCGCCTCACTCGGCTGTCGTGCTCGGGCGCGAAACCAAACAATCCGCCCGCCTCGACCCTGCATCGAAGAACTACGTGCCGCCCGCCAAACCGTGGTTGGTCCGGGAGTCTTCTGGAGGCGGCGCGGCGGAGCCGCGGGAGGCGCCGACACAGGCAGCAAGACCATCTTGGTGATGGATTGCTCGTACACGCCAGTCACCGTCTTGAGGGTAGCAGCGCGGACAAAGCCGTCGGCTCCCGGGTGGACACTGATGACACGGCCGATTGGCCGTCGGCCGCTGGACTGCAGAAGTGTAGCGTCTAGGAGGACGACCACATCGCCGACGATGAAGTTTCGGCGAGGAGTAGTCCATTTTGACCGCTGTTGGAGTGTGTTGAGGTATTCTCGGCTTCAGTGGGACCAAAACTGGGCGCGGACCCCCCGAACGAGCTTCCAGTGGGCAAGCGCATCCAAGCTCTCCGCAGGGGGGCTGGGTAGAACGATGGAGTTGAGAGGGCCACTGACAAGGAAGTGCCCTGGGGTGAGAATATCGAGGTCTCCAGTGTCTCCCGATAGCGGTGTCAGTGGTCGGCTATTTAAGACTATCTCGATGCCAATGAGCACCATGGAAAATTGCTCGTAGGTGAGATGGCATGACCCCATGACGCGCCGGAGGTGACTCTTGGTTGACTTGACGGCGGCCTCCCACAAGCCACCGAAGTAAGGAGCACCCGGTGGAATGAACTCCCAAGCAATTCCTTGATCAGTGAGAGAGCCCGCGACCAATCCCCAGTCCAGTTCGGCTGACAGCAAGGCATCACGCACCTCGACATCAGCGTGGAGGAAGCAAGTCGCGTTGTCGCTCCATATCTCGCCGGGCCGACCGCGGCGTCCAGTGAATCGGTGGAGGGCGCCCAAGAAGGACGCAGCTAAGAGATCGCCGACCAGCTCCAGGTGCAGGGCCTTGGTGGCGAGGCACACAAAAACAGTGATGTAGCCTTTCGTGGTCCAGACTCCTCGTCCTCTGGCGGAGAGTACATGGAATAGCCGGATGCAGACGACGTACCTGCGGAGGTGAGCCTTGATCCGCCAGGGCCCACCAAGGAGCCAAGCGCGCTTACAGACATAGGTGCTGGTGACACGGTATCCACCGTGCAGCTCCCGAGAGTCTGCCCAGGCGATGACCATGGAAGCGAGGGAAGAGGCGCCGCTGAGTATCGGTGGGTGGTGCTCCTCGTAGGTCAGCGGCGAATGCTCGAGCCGCCCACTGACGCGCAGAATCCCGTCGTCATCGAGAAAGGCTGCTGACGGTACCAAGGGGTTTGTCTTCCGCAGACGTTCGCCCCGTCAAAGACACTGGAGGTCGGCCGAGAATGATCTCTCCTGGCTGAGGCGTACAGACGCGAGAAAAGCGTCATAGAGTTCGGTTGGCGTAAGAGGTGAAGTGACTGAAAGCACGGGGCCCCTGCTCAAGCGGCTCCAGACGAATCGACGAATGCGTAGAAGGAAGCTTAGTAGCATGCGTAAGTTGGAGAATTGCTTGAGGTAGCTGGCGTCGAGCTGCTGCACTACGCAGCAGATGAATGAATGCTGGTTCGGTGCGGGGAGCGGGTCTAGGGGCCACGAGTCGACGTCCTCGGCGAGCCAAGCAGGGCCCTTCCACCAAGTACGCTGCGAGTGAAGGCCAGTCATGTCGGCACCTCTGGTCGCGAGGTTGGCTGGATTTGACTGGGTCGGCACGTATCGCCAGACGCTCGAAGGCAGGATTTCCTGGATTTGGGCGACATAGTTGTCGATCTGCACGTTGTTGGTTGGCCTGTCAGAACGCAGCCAGTGCAGAACGATCTGTGAGTCACACCATGCTTGACAGCAGTCGACAGGTACGCGTAGCTTGTCGGCAGCGGCCCGCAAGAGCTTGGCGGCAATCAGTGCGGCACGGAGCTCGAGGCGCGGAATCGTCATGCGCGCGGATGTCTCTGGCGCCGGCTTGAGCAAGCAAATCGGCGAGAGCTTCGTCCGAGCCAGAAGAATGTGGCAGAGCGCCAGCCCAGCCCCGGGCGCGAGGCGAGAGTAGATGACGGCTGCCATCGCGCGGTGACTGGCGTCTGAAAAGCCGTGCAGGTGAAGCTCGGAAAAAGGGCCGACTCCGATCCAGCGCAGCAAGGTAAAGGTGGAGATGGCCTGGAGCCTGTGGCCTTCGTCCTGGCATAGCTGTTGGAGGGTACGCAGCGACAGGTAAGGCGAGCACGACTCGCCGTAAGTCACAGTGAGCAGCTGGTAGTGGGTTGGAGGCTGGCTGAGATCGGCAGCCCAGACGATCCGCTGCAGGTCAACGTCATGGTAGTCGATCCAAATCTGCCAGAACATCATGCGGATGTCACGGCAGAAGGCGATGAGGTGCCGCCACCAGCGCATTAGCACCGATGGGAGCGCGGCTTGGAGTCTGGCTCCAGCGTGGAGGACGTCGTTCAAGCTGTGGCCACTGGAAGTCGGGTTGGACGCGTTGAAGACTACTCGGAGCTTGCACCCACGATCAACATGCTGCCAGATGCCATGATGATGGATGTAGTTGACGGGCCCAGTTGTAGCTGCAAGCTCTGCGCTAGTGAGCGGGCACATGTGGCCCATCGCGAGATAGTCAGCCATGAATCGACTATACTGCACAGCCATGTCGGGGCTTCGCCGAAGCTGGCGTTGCAGGGCTTCCAAGGAGGCCTTGGCGCTCTGAAGACTGTTGTCAGGAAAAAGCGAACCGCTGCCCTTCAGCGGGAAGCGCACGATGCACCGTCCGTCCACGGTGCGTCGGTGGTCTACGAACGCATGCTCACACTCGATGTCCTTATCTGAGTGGCGGTGAGCCTGAGGAACATCCTTTATCTCCCAGAACCGCTGTAGCAGAGAGGTCAGCTTGTTGTGCCAAGGCGGAGCCACGTCGAATTGGGTGGCTGCACAGACGGCCGACTTACCTGGATCGAGCCCGACGGCACGGCCTGCCAATACCCAGCCGAAGACTGTGCGCTGCCCGACGATTTCTCCTCGTTGAGTGTAGCTGGGTCGCAGCAGCAAGTGGTAGTAGTCAGTGCCAATGAGGAGGTCGACGCGTTGTGGCGTTCCAAACGAAGGATTGGCAAGGCCCTCGCAGTCAGCCCACTGCCGAATTGCCTCCAGTTGCAGCGGGGTGGAGGGAGATACCAGGCCGAGCCTGGGTAAACACAGCGCTGTCAGCGCGACCGGTGGTGTGGGCCCTGGAAGCTCGAGTTGGAGATGGGCCTGGACTCTGGACCAGACGGCGGACTTGCCGCCGACGCCGGAGATGCTGGCTTCGATGGTTTCTAGTCGTGCGCCGACCAGGCGCGCAAGAGTCGCAGAGATAAAGGTGACCTCGGAGCACGCGTCGATCAGCGCTCGGGCCGGAACTCGACGACCAGGAGGACCGCTCAGATGGACGAGAGCGGTCGGAAGCATGGCTAGTCACGCTTGAGGTGACGCGTCATTCGAGTGCTCTCTTGATGAAGAGGTGGGCGGGTCCGTGCGGGGCTACTTCGATGATGTAGAGCCGTCGGGCTGCCTCGAGCGGCGGCGACGGGCACCGTCGTGCAGTGAGCTGTGATGCTGCTCTCGGCAATATTGACAAGAGAACCGGGAGGGGCAGTACTTCACAGCATGCCCAGGTCGGAGGCAATTAAAGCACAGCCGTGCCTGGTAGATGAGCTCCCTTCGTGCGCGTACATCAAGCCCCTGGAACTGGGCACAACGCCCGGGATAATGGCCCTCGTGGCACGAAGGCGTATTGTTGCTCGTGGCGAGGGCGTGGTAATTGCGTTCTGATGTCGAGGAGCGTGCGGCTGTCCCACTGAAGGGACGTGCAGGCTGCGAGGCTTCGACAGAGCTGGCGGCGTGGCAACGGCACCAAAGAAAGTCGGTGAAGGTGGCGAATGTGGCGATGTCAACCTGGGAGCCGGAAATGGTACTCTCCAACCGTTGGAACTCCTCCTCCCATGCACGCCTCGTAGCTGGATCCATGCCCGTCATTCCACACGAGACAAACCAATCTTCCCAGCCAGCTACGGGACGACCTAAGGCGCGAAGCTGGTCGCGATGTTTTTCCAGGGTATCCAAGAGGCTCTGCAACCCGTGGGCGGACTTGTCTCTGAGTGGCTTGATGTTCCGCAGGGCTGTGACATGGTTGTGGATGAGAAGGTGGCTGTGCTCGTAGCACGCTTCAAGCAGAGCCCATGCCGTAGAGTAATTGGCCTTGGCTACCTGGATCGTATCGAGGGCGATGTTAGCGTCTCCCTGAGCGAGCGACTTCAAATAGAACAGGCGCTCGACGTTGGTGACTTGGGAGTCCTCGTGGATCAGCGATCGGAAGAGATCACGGAAGTTCTTCCAGTCTTCTCGTCTCCCAGAGAAGTTTGGAATGCTGATTCTCAGCAAGCGAGGCCCACGGCCCGAAGCCGGGTTCCCTGGGCCCGGAAATGGCCTGGGAGGGACAGGTGCCGGCGCCAGAGAGTCTCTCGCGTCGTAGAGGCAAGACGGTGCGTCAAGGTAGTGCGCTTTCACGTCAGTGTACAGCTGGACCAACCGAGACGCCTTTTCCGGTGGCGGAGCTTCAATGAGCTTGAGATGGTTGGCTTGAAAATCGCCCTAATATCCGCCGAGCAATCCCAACCTCACTTCTGCCATGCCTGAGCTCCAGCGGGCTGGCTCCATCTCATGAATGATGCGGGCCAGGTGGCCAATAATCTCGGCGAGAGCCGACTGAGCACCGAACAGCGCGGTCCAGCCTTCGTTTATTTTAAAACATTAGTATTCGACGCTTGAGCGGAATATGCCACCGAGCCACAGCTGGCAGTGTTAGGGGGGTCGACAATTCGAGTCAAATCGGCAGGCGACGCGCTTGAGAGGACAAGATGGCCGCCACGGCCGACAAGGAGACCGTCGGCGGATCATTGCAACAATGGCGGCTTGATGAAGCCGGGCCACGCCTATACCACACGTTAACTTTGGCCATCAGCGACACAGCCTCCTTGCCGCCATGGCTAGGCCAAATGACTAGACCGCGAGCTCCGTCAGCCCTGGCAGTCCCTCACAACATTTCACGCGTGCAGGGCGACACGGCCTCAACATTGCCGTGGCCGAACGACTGGTGCCGGGCCGCGGGCACTATGGTGACCGCGGCGGCCATGTTCGCGCTTTGTTTGTCACTTATACTTACTTTGCTTCGAATAATGTGGAACCACCGGCTGTCCTCTGGGCTGCTGATCGCTGTTTATCTCCGCAGAATCCGGCTCTCAAAGGACCAATGTTTGGTAAATCACTGTACTAGATATTGTACAAGAGGGTTATTGGTCTAATTATTAGAAAAATGTTTTTGTCCAACTAAAACGTCTTTTTCAATTGTTATTAAATAAACGTTATGAAAAAAATTTCGTATTTAACGATTATTTGATGATTAGTAAATTTAAAGACAAAAAAATATCTCCTTTTGTTTTACGGGTAGTCTGCTGTTATTTTTTCAAATTGTTTATACACACATGGATGAATATATATCTCACTAATCAATCAGTACTTTAACTCATATCATCGTATCAAATTTATTTTTTTTTAACTACGTAGAACAACATTTACTTTTGTAAGAAATTACTTGTGTTTTACTATATTTAAAATTAACAAAGTTGTAAGCATTTATTTAATTGCAAAAATTATTGGTAAAAAAAAGCGTTAAAATTGAGAAAAAAAGTCTTACATTATAAATAGCGAGCTAATAAATCCTCACATTAACAATTTAATTGTAATGTCATTTTTAAAAGTTAACAAAAAGCTTGGGCATGGTTGAATCTCATCATAATAGGTACTTAATACCAGATTTTTTATCATTTTTATCAATAAGTAAAAAAACTGTAAGTTTATACCAACTTATTTTTAAAACAGGAAATTTCACGCTTTTTCGCAACTTAACAATGCAAAAACCAAATTTTTAAATAATCAAAAAACCCTAATCGATAGAAAATCTTATTACGAACAATTTTGCTTGTGTATTTTTTTTAATCAGACCAACAGAAAAGAAGTTATAAGCCAAAATGTTAATAAAATTTGATTAATTTTCACAATTTGCTTAATAACAATTAAAGCCGACGCTTTTGTTGGACAAAAATGTTTTTCCAATGAGTAGACTATATTTGTAAGCGATTAAAATGATTTTCTTCCAGATGGCAGAAGTTTTCTTATCTACCGTTTTTACGTGCTTTAACTACCAAACTACAAGGAAATTACTGTGATGTCTGATAAATAAAGTACTTATAATGTATAGCGAGATAATGTATGATATTTTTAATGTTATGTATAATATTTAATGCAAAATCATAAACTATCAACATGAAATTTTATGGTAATATTTTTTTTACTTGAATACAATAGAAATTATTTGCATATTTTTCAGTTAAAGACTATATTGTTACCGTTACTTTCTTAATAGTTGGGTTCTGTTGCAGAATAAAGTCTAGTTTAATTATCAAGACATATTTCTAACAAGAAAGACACTTGATGTTGTACATAGTTAAAACAAAAAGCTGGTTTAATAAGGCAGTATGCGTCCTTGTTAACGCAGAATTTTCTAAAAAATAAATATTATAATTTCCTGTGTGATAAAACACCATGTCACGAAGCCTAAAGTTTCTGTAGTTTAGTTTTTCCTTGTTATTAAGGGTACATAGAACAAGAAAAAGTTTGTTTCAAAGGTGTGCCTTGAAAAAAAACTTATTTTTTTTTCGGGATACGTAAAGGCAAATTTGGATTGGATTCCTTTATGTTCAAGAAGAAAAGCATAAGAACGTCCATACCTAAAATACTGTTTAGCCCAACTGAAGTCTATTGCGCATACGTGAGTTTGGGTAAAGTGGTACTTTAAAATAAAGTATTTCTAATACCGAAAATTTTTAACTATGAGTACATAAAATGAACATGTTTTTTAATAATTTTGATAAGTAAAAACCTACAATCAGAACTATTTTTTAAGGTCAAATGAAATTTCTTCTCAGAATCAATAGGAGATTGTTATACTACTAAGTTTTTTTGGTACAATATTTCATAACAAACAAGAAGTCTTACTACTAAGTAGGCAGTGGAATTTTAGCTGTAGGTTTTTTCCTGCTGCTTACTAGCACTTGATATTTTCTGCTCATTTAGCAGCAAATATTCCTTGAATACTAGTTGGAGATTTAACTACAGTAGTAGTAAAACAATGTTTTAGTAGTAAAAGTAGAAATAGAAATATTAGTTATTGTAAGAATAGCTCAAAAATACTAAAATTCTATCCTGTACAACTAAAAATAATTCTTTTGATTAAGTGATGATAGTCGTGCCAAGATTCTCTGCAGCACACCAGCATCACTTGCTTTCTGCACCTACATGAGTTATTTCAGTTAAAATAAGTAGCTTAAAACAAAATTTTTTGTATAAAATAAAAAATGAGTTTTTCAGCTAGTAAGTGCTGACTGTAAGAAGCCGCAGAAAGTATATAAGATCTTGAATAACCAAGTGCTAGTAGAAAAAAGCCTTACTGTGTATAAGTTTTCTATACGAATTAAATTATATTTTAGGGGAGCAAACGATAGTGAAATATAGCTCTCCTTCATGTAAGTCCTACACAACTGTCAAATTTACTTTTGGGTGAAAATATATTGGGAACAAGTATGGATAAAAAGATTAAATCTTTATTTTAATAACATTAAATTTAGGTCAAACAAGAATAAGCAGTTAGAGACTTTATAGTATGTTAGTTCTTACAAAAATTAAATTTCTTTCCAGTTATCAAGGACTGCCACAGCGGTGGAAAATATAACTCTTGATAAGCTGAAGCTAAAAAAATTGCTGTCAATAAGAAGCTTAAGTGTTTCTCGTTTTTCAAACTTTAAACTTTATTTCTAGACAATCAAGTGATAGTGATAAGTTGTACAACTATGTTAAAGAAGCCTAACTGTAAATTGAGTTTTGATAAAAAATGAATTTATACTTAGGGGCTTAAGTGCTGCTGCTAAGAAGCTTTGTATTTTAGCTTTTGCAGAAAATAAATTTCTTTTAAAGCAATCAAGTGCCATCAATAAGTGGCCCAACTATAAATTACTATCTTAGAAAAAATGAATCAATATCAATGAGAGAAAATGCAGGTAATAAAAGGCATAATTATTTATTAGATCCTATAAAAATGAAGTTTTTCTCCGGTAAGCAAGTGCCAACGATGAAAAATAAATTAATTTTTTATTTAAAAATGACCTATAGTTGTGCTATTTACTATCAGCAAATGCTTTTACAAAATCAAGCTTATTAGAAGTAAGAAAATTACTTATGTGTGAGATACTTATAACAAACACTTACTCGCAGTAAAATAAGTTCATTTTCTAGGAAAATAAGTAAATAATTACTTATTACTACCACTTGCTCACTAAAGATAAAATAGATTGCTTACAAAATTTTATATAGTATAAAGCTATTCATCACCAGCAATTCTTTGCATAAGCGTCAATTTTTTTCAGATAGAAAACTGTTCTATAGTTAAGTTATTTATCGCAAGCACCTATTAACCTACATGAACATTCATTTTTTTCTGAAAGTTATCTCTTATTGGGCTACTTCTCAACACCACTCGCGTAATAATAAATTTTTTTTTCTTAATAAAACATGGTATATCCAATTACTACCAGACTTGCAAGCCTAAGAACTATATTTCTCTAAATATAACTTATTAACAGTCAGGCTATTTTCTAACAATGGTTGTTTGCCTGAAAGGGAAACTATTTTCTATAAAAACTTATCTGTTTGGATGGGTTACTAATCTTCATTGCTTGCTTACCAAGAAATGAATTTATTTTCTACAATAAGTACTCTACACTTAAGCTATTTACAACCAGCGTTAGCTGACCCAAAATTCACTTTTTTTCGATAAAAAACTTATATATAAATAGTGCTCTCGTTGTTGGCACGTGTTTGGCCTTAACTAGAATAATTTTCTATAAAAATAAACATAAAGTCAAGTATTTAATTGTCAGTTCTTACGTAACGAAAAATAAATTTACTTTTCATCAAAAACAAATCCACAGTAGGGCTCTTTATTGCTAGCAATTGTCACGTTAAAATCAGTCTTTTTTTATGAAAAAGTACTCCATAATTTTCTTACTAATGACTGGTGCTTGATTCCTGTTAAATAAACTATTTTTTTATAAAAACTGATTTACAGTGAGGCTCGTCAGTACTAGCACTTGTGTGGCCAAAAATAGATTTTTTTTTTATTAAAAAAATCATCTTTAATTATGCTACTTAAAATTATCACTTGCTTACATAAATATTATTCATTTTTCATTACAATGAAATTTATAGTTGAGCAAAGCATTGCTGGTACTTTCTCAAGTAAGGGAAAAAATGTTCTTTACACTAATATGTACGCTTTTATTTTTTTTTTCATCCGTTCCTGCTCACCCAAAAACAATTTTCCGTATGAAATAGTAATGTAGAGTTTAACTTCTTATTACCAGTACTAGATGGCCAAAAAAAATTTGATTTGTAAGGGGTTGATGATTCAGGCATTCGATCATAAAATGATTCTATTAGGTTTGATGATAGGTATGTGAGTTAAGGTATTTCTATACTTTTGTACGAAGAAAGTTTAGTTTTATTTTTATTCTCTACTA